AAAGAATGACGCAGGTACGTGTCGCTGAAAGTTAAGATTATCTTTTCTTTCCCGATTCCTTGGATTGGCGTGGAGGCTCTCCGTCTTTGCTGATCAAGCCGGAACCGGAAGAAGATCCATTATTTCCGTCTTTACGCTGCTGTTGTTGCACCCATACACTTTTGGCGCTAGCTTCTCTCGCTAAATTTTTTCCATCATGCGAGGCGCCGAGAAAGGAATTCTGCTGCTGATTCGGCTTGCCGGCCGTCGAGGTCAGCCGGGCTTTCTGGATGAAAAACGTGCTACGAGGTTGAGGTTGTTGTTGCGCTTGTGGATTCGGCGAAGCCTTGGGGCCAGGGCTGCTGACTGCAAATGAACCCGAATTTTCTTCGTTGCCGGAAGGCGCCATGGTTTTATTCCCAGCAGTTATGAGGACGGTTGAGCGGCTCTTGATGGCACGCGCCCCCTTGACGCGGTTGCGCACTAAGCGTCGCTTCTCGCGCTCTATCGCGGTTCTGATGGCGAGGATCATCCAAATGGTCACCGGCCAACTCGCAAACATGGCGAGGGACACGAAGAACTCGAAGCAAGTGCGACGAAGGTAAAACACTGCAGAAACATGCCCACTTTCACAAATTGTAATACCGTATCATTGTCCAAGAAAAATGAATTACAGTGAACTCCTGTTACAAAAAATGCAATATTGCCGGTGTATATACACAGCATCAGGAAATATAATCTCTGCTAAACCGCAATTTGAACAAGATCTCCATAGGACAAAATTGAGACAGACAATTTTGGGGACAGGGCCAATTTGAGACAGAATGTTTTGGAGACAGAAAATTTTGCAACAATAAAGACTATTTCAGGCAAAAGCATTTCCTTGCTTTCATTCCTCTCTTGATCCATTGTAATACACTGTAATAAAAAAGAATCAGAACATGCTTCATCATTTTTTTAAATGCTGTATTGGCTGAGGTAAACTACAGATAACATTCTCTCATAGTCAAGAAAAATTATACAAATGTATATACTGTACATAAAAACATCTATAGTACACAAGTATTATAATGGAATATATCTAAAAAAAAGCAAATTTCAACTATTTAAAATTGGAAAAGAATATAAAATTTTCCAAGATTCACAGAAAATCTTGGGAAACCTAGAAAATTAGGTGAAAATGAAAAAAAGGTGTGTGCAGAGTTACTCAAGGACTGTCTTGTATTGTCCCTAACTCTAAATTTCCATGTCTCCAATGGTCCCAGTTTCCAAAAGTTTTTGTCTCAAATTGTTCCTGTCTCAATTTGTCCCAATTTACAACAATTTGTTGTAAAGAAAAATGTGGGTGCGCATTTTATTCAAGGATATTTTCATTTTCATAAAAATAAAAAAATAAAGTTAAGGCTTGTCTTACTTGAGGAAATTGAGGGCAAGTGGTGACTGCTGGTCTTTGAGTGAAATATAGTACTGTACAGTATTTCTTCAGGAAAGAAACCCTTATGTCACTAAAATTAGGAAAGAAGATTTCAAGTTATATGCAGCTCTCTTTTATATAGAGTCCAGCAAGTATCACATGCAATGTTGAATCAGGTGTATTCTAAATTATTTTTGAACCGTGGTTTAAACCAAAGACATGTACATTGCCAATCTGGTTCAGCATGAAGTTCATAGAGCATAAGTGGCCTCATCAGGAGCGAAATGCAAGCAGCACTGAACAGCACAGCTCTCACCAACACTGCTGCATATGCAATCTGGAATAAAACAAAATAATATATTTAAAGAAAGTTTCAAGATTCAATTTATGAAAAATGCTTCATTTACAGTAAAAAGGGGTTTTATTTTTTCATAACACCCAGCTGAATTATCAGGTGATGAATTTAAATAAATTTCTTACTTGCTTCAGAAAATAAATCATGAGGAGTTTGATCAGAAAAAAAATTGCCAAGGAGGTATAGCATTAAATTGTATATTTTCTTTCAAATCATGTCGGATTTTGTTTTCATTGGTTTCATATGACCACAATTTTCTTCAAAAATATTACTCTTGAGACAAAATGGCCTTTTAGTTCACCCTGTTGGAGAGAATCATCTTGGAAAGAAAAATAGGTTCCTCACTGAAAAGGGTTTCAGGTTTTGCTTCTGATCAAATAGAGAATATTGAACAAATCTTCAATGGACTGAGAAGTAAAGAAATAAATTTGTTGGTTAACCCTTGAACATACTATTTTTGTGGGTTTTTAAAATACAGTGAGACCCCAAGATGCAGACATAATTGGTGCATCAAGAGTGTCCTTAAGTCAAAATGTCCCTAAGTCGAGTCTCATTTTCCCTTAGACTTACATTATATAATTTGTAATTGGTGTTCCCTGTACAAAATACTCACCCTAATTCCATAAAAATAAAAATTGTCTACCAACTTAAACTGATTCAATCTATGTATTTCAACACAATATGAAAATTTTGGGAATTGAATACTGATACCTCATCTGTACAATGTGTTGGCATTTTCTGTAAAAATAAAATTCAAGTGAAAAAGAGAGAAGGAAATCTCTCTGTATATGCTGGAGGTAATTATTTTAAATTAGCTAAATAGATGGTAAATTGGCGAGAGAAATGCCCAAGAACTTTGGCATTTTCTGTAAAAATAAAATTCAAGTGAAAAAGAGAGAAGGAAATCTCTCTGTATATGCTGGAGGTAATTATTTTAAATTAGCTAAATAGATGGTAAATTGGTGAGAGAAATGCCCAAGAACTTTTCTTACATCAATTTTAGGGTTTGAAACATCTGTTTCATGTAAATTTGCTTGAAATTTATTTGCAATTTTATTGCAAAATGTCCCCCTGTTGAGTCAATGTCCTCATGTTGGGACTTTTTTGTGATTTTTTAATGGTAAAATAAGTGTCCCTAGGTCGAATCGTCCGCAGGTAAAGGCGTCCGCATGTGGGGGTCTCACTGTAATCCCATAACAAATACTCAAGTTGTATAAAGGGGTTCAGCTCTTTCTTTTGTGATGTTGACCCTTTTTTTTAAAAGGAACGTTTTGAAACTATCCAATGGAATATTGCTAAAAGATATCTTTTTACATCAGATCGGAAAATTACACGCGAAAAAAAAGAAGTTTTCTCTCAGTCAATTCTATGTAATTTAACCGTATTCTTTAATTGACCACAGAAATTACGCTTCCAATATAAGGTAAATTCCTTGCTGGAGGCAAAATACGATGTTTCCTTTTTCAAGCTTATCGTATTCTTCAGTCAAAAGTATTGAGTACAGTAAAAATATGACCGTCACCGTTAGAGCTCGCGTGTTTTCGTGAAGATTCTGGATCCTTGCCAAGATGTCGCCCGCAACGCAAAGCAATGCCACCAGGGCCAACAGTCCAAGAAGGAAGAAACTAATGATCATGTGGGCATAAGACGACCTATGGAAAACAATTTCAAAATTTGACAAAATGGTGATGAAATGCGTAACTGCAGGTTTTCTCAAAGACATTTAAAGAAAGAAAGAATGTGGGGACTTAAACATTAAAAATATATTGCAGTTGGAGAATTACAGTGGAGTCTTTGCTGACAAACTCAATTGGTTCCTGAACAAAGTTTGTCAGCCAAATAGTTTGTTAGACAAATCACATTTACCCTCAAGAAAGTATAGAAATAATTTTAATTGGTTCCAGAACCTTGAAAATACCCATGAAATTCAAGAAAATGCATCCCACAAAAATATCCTCAGGCCTATAAAATCCATCATATCTTCCCAAGGCAATAAACAAGAAACTCACTGCAGTAAAGCAATCCATAGAAGTAAAATTTTCAAGTGAGTTTCTCATCCAGAGGTTTCTTGAAAATTTTAAATGCAACCCCACAAACTTATTCACAAACCAAGGTCTTAGGACAGAAATTTCAATGCTAAAAAGTTGTATGAATTTTAAGCCAATTAGAATGAAAAAAATGGTGTCAAGAATTGGTCACTGAGCTTTTGAGACATTCTTAGATGAGTTCATGAATAAGTTAAAACATGAATCCCTGGATTTTGCTAAAGAAATTTTTATTATACCCATGAGCATTTTGAGAACTCAAAGTTTTTAAGCTGAGTCATGGTTTGTCAGCCAGAGCAGCTGAGACCAAAAACAAAAAGTTTTTTTAGCTGAACAGTAACAATAGTAAAAAAGTTTGATAAAGCCTATTTTGACACTCTTCAAAAAATGCAATTGAAGCAGACAAATTTTGGCTTTAGCAGCTGCAACAACAAGTGATCAGAAATTGCTAAAATACCCACAGTAAAAAGATATCTTCACAAATGCTCTAAAAGTTATTTGAGGCATTAATTTCTTACAAGATGCAAAATGAACTGATTAATATAACACACATAAACATAAATTGATCACAATTTAAGATAAACCTTATTTCCCTGTACAGTATCAGTTTTGCTCAGCAATGCCCTTTTCAACTATATACATATCAAAGCAAAATGTGCTCTTCATTGATTTCTGTTTCACATTGTGCAGAAATCCTTCTATGAAACAAAAAATTGAGCATTATACAAGAAGCTAATTTATTTTGTCATTCAATTTTCTCAGTCCACCACAAAAAAATTGTAGTCATGTTCAACTTGACAATTTATCAAAGTCCATTTTTCAGTCATAACAAGCACACAGCAACAAAAGACTGGATCCATAAAGATTAAAATCCAGTTAATTGGGCTTTAATTTATGAAGAAAAACTTTTTATTGAAACTTTTTAAAAATATATCAACAACAGTTTGAATGTTGATTTTGGCAATTCAGACACTGTGTTAATGAATCAAGTATTTCCAAATGAAAATTTGGGCAACTCAAACTTTCTTTTAAAAATTTTTGTTTGTTTACGAATTGTTGCTGAAATTATATTCAAATTTTATAATCTTCAAGAACGGATTTGGGATTTTTCCAAGATTTGTTCTGCACTTATTTTCCAATGTCAACAAATTCAAGTCGATCAAGTGATCAAAAATCCATGTAAAAATGTAGCAAAACATTTTCATAACAAAAAACCTTGGAAAGCCAATTTAAAAATATATTAAATACAGCACTCACTTTTTAAACCTGCTTTATTTTGAGTAAATATTCAAAAAAAAGGTACTGAGATTGGATACGTTGAAATACAGTGAGACCCCAAGATGTGGACACATTGACCTGCAGACAATTCAACATAGGTTTTAGATATTTTACAAAAATCTGAAACTTTTGGAAATCTTAATTAAGAATAAAATAGAAACCCGCAAATAAAACATTGAAAATAGCACATCGTGAATGTCACGGGAAATACAGTACAGAAAAAAATTTTATAGATACAAAAAACTGCAACTGAATTTTAATTTCGGAAATTTTTTTTTATAGAAACCCACAAATAAAACTGATTGAAAATGGCGTGTCGTCAATGTCACGGCAAATGCAGAAAAGTTGGTTTTAGATACAAAAAAACTGAAACTTTGGGAGAGTTTAATTTAGAAAAACATTTAGAAACTCACAAATAAACCTGATTGAAAATGGCTTGTCGTAAATGTTACGGGAAATACAGAAAAGTTGGTTTTAGATACAAAGCAGTGAAAATTTTTATATAGAAAAAAATTAAAACCCACAAATGAAACTGATTGAAAATGGCTTGTCTTGTCGTCAATGTCTCGAGAAATACAATTTTTTTTAGATTTTGTAAAAAAAAATCTGAAACTTTTGGAAATCTTAATTTAGAAAAAATAGAAGCCCGCAAATAAAACTTTTGAAAATGGCATTTCGTGAATGTCACGAGAAATACAGAAGAATCGCTTTTAGATACAAAAAACAAAAAAAATGTAGGAAATTTTAATTTTAGAAAAATAAAATTTAAAAACCCACAAATAAAACTAATTGAAAATGGCATATGTCATCAATGTCACGGGAAATGAAAAAAAATTGTTGCTCCAGTTAAGAAAAAAATAAACAAATAATGAAAACTTTGGGGAAGGTCTTGAAGAAAAATGGGAGAAAAATCGCCAGTGATGCAGCAAAGATGTCACTCTTACACTTGTGCAAGGATCACACATAAATCAGCAGGAATCCTGAGAATATACAGTATATATAAAAGATAACTGGACTCTTTATCATTCGTTGAATGCATACAGAATGTGCTTAGTCATGATCTGCGTCTATACTCATCAGCAGATGACGTGAATTCCTTCGATTTTAGAAAAATAAATTCCTTCAAATATTGTATTGTACATTTACTTGTTGAAACCTTTCACACGTCGTTTCATCTGATTTTAGCCAAAGTGAAGAAAGAAATACTTTCAAATTCACAACAGTCACGTTTAAAAGTCATATCAACTAGAAAATTATAATAAATCCTTGGACAAAAAGCTCTTATGGAAATATAAAAAAATTGTGTCTTCAGCAAATAAAATTCTTTATATTTCTCCTGAATGAGTCGCATGTTTTTTTTCCCTCCTACATACAATTATCTCCATAATCTCGGATTGAAATAAAATCAAAATCCGAACTTGCCAGCATAAAACCCAGAAAATACTAAATTTAAAAACAAGAACAAAATTTTATAAATTGCATTCATCAGTGGTTTTTTTTCCCCGACAATCAACATAAAATATATGTGTACCAGAAATAAACAAAGGAAACCACACAAAAAGAGAGCTTCTCAAACCGCGAACCTCCGTATATTCATTAATTCCTTTCACTGCAGTATACAGTATATATATTTAATAAAAACAAATAAGAGTAACTCAGAAAAAAGGTCGTTAGGTCACCTTTTCCTGCGAACAAACAACGGAAACGAAAGTAGATCTCGAGCAAAGCAAAAAATTTACTAAATAAAAAAGCTCTTCAAAAGAAAAGAGTTCAAAACCATTTCAAACCCAAATACAAAAATAAATAAACAAAGAGGGCTTGAAGATGACGCATTGAAACTCAATAACCTGGAAAAAACGCGAAGTTCCAATCAAAGCCAGGGTTTGATAAATCATTAAATTAAATTAAAATTTTAAAATAAACTAGAAATAAGACCCCAAACTGAGTAAGGAGAGAAGATAGCGTTAAAAAATCAATAAATAATTTGATCAATCAATGAAAAAAAACGTGGATTGATGCTCTGCACCATAAAGGGCACAGAATTTGACAAAAAAATATACAATTTTAAATCGCAATAAAATTACCAGCATGTATTTTCGAAATTAAAAATTGAAGAAATTTGTCACACAATGGACATCAAATTTTTTTTTCAGAGAAGCAGCTCAGGTGTTATCATATAAACAGACTTTCCAACATAAATTTTGCTGAAATTAAGTCAATTCTCAAAGGGATTTTCAAATTTAAAAAAAAAACAATTTTATTAGAATTGTCTAGTCCAGTGTTCCCCAACCTTTTTGGGCCCACAGACCAGCAAATTCCAAAAACATTTTCTGCAGACCAGCAAAGTTTCATAAATTTTTGCAGACACAGCAAAAATTTGCTTGAAAGACTCTATGGCACCTATACAAACTTTCTGCATAAAAAAATCAAGTTAAGCACCAAAGAAGCAGCTATAGCTGAATTTTGTCAAAAAATTAGAAGAGTAGGCTTGAAGAAAGGTCTCTCAGAATGCAAAATTGAAACAATTTATTTCAGCAGGTGAAAAATTGCAAGTGTTATGATAAGAAAAGACAACTTTTATTTTCATCACATAATTTTACATGCCATTGTCTTTCCAGAAGATTAGAAAAAGATCACAGACTTTATTGCTACTTTTGATAAATGTATTATGCTGAAAATTTTCCACAGACTGGCCAAAAAAGAATTTTTGCAAGCGGCTAGGGGAACAATGGTTCATAGTCTTATATTCCAGTGTTACCCAACCCATGGTCTGTGGAAATTTTCAGCATGATACATTTTTTAAAAGTAGGAATGAACTCTGTTATCATTATCTAAAAATTTAGGAAAGACAATGGTAGTTGAAATCATTCAATGAAAAATCAAAGTTGACTTATCTCCTAATAACACTTCAGACACATTTTTACCAGCTGAAATAAATTATTTTAATTTTTCATTCTGAGAAACCATTTCTGCAAGCCCACCTTTTAAGTTTTTTATGACATTCAGCTACAGCTGCTTCATTGGTGCTTAACTTAATTTTTGTAAGAAGCAGAAACGGTACTTTCCTGTTATCTCAGTACGTACTTTCCGCGCACCTACCAGAAACTGTTAATTTCATTTCTCCACATTCTGCTGAAACTGATTTTGGGAGGCAGTTATAGGTAAAGTTAGGTTAGGTCAGGTTATGTTAGTTACAAATATCTTTTGATTTACATAACCTGACCTAACCTAACTTCATTCAGCAGAAACCCAAAGAAAGCAGAAACTGATTTTGGGAGGCGGTTAGGTGAAGTTAGGTTAGGTCAGGTTATGTTAGTTACAAATATCTTTCAATTAACATAACCTTACCTAACCTAACTTAACAAATACTGAATTCACGAAACAAAGAAAAATGGGTACTGAGATAACAGGAAAGTACCGCAGAAACTTTTATATGCCTGTCATAAACTCTAACAAGCAAAGTTTTTTCAAGTCTGTAAAAAATGTATGAAACTTTGTTGGTCTGCAGAAATTTTTTGGGAATTTGCTGGTCTCCAAAAAATTTTATGGAAATCTGCCAGTCTGCATGGTGACCCAAAAAAGTTGTTGAACACTGTTGTATCCCTCTTGAACTCCTTCATCATATCATCTGTATCACTCACCAAGCAGGTAAAACCGTACAGCCATAGATACCCAGTCCACATGCAAACAGAACAATCAAATTGGCGAGCAAATCGAGCAGCCAGGCGATGCGAAAAAAGGCGTGGACGGAACATAACCAACAATTCTCCAATCCGAATACCTCCACAGCCTTGAGCGACAGAACAGGTGCTCGCAAATGCTTCTCAGCACTGTCAAAAGTTTCTCTGGATTTCGGGATCTTCATCTGGAATGGAACACATCGAAAATCATGCCAAGGAAAAGTTTGGAGTCAGAAGAATTTTACAAAATAAGAACAGTACAGTACCTTATTATTTCCATGCCAAGTTGAAGCACTGAAAATGTATCATGATGGAACGGTGTGAGACATGGACTTAGGAAGACATGTTTTCTTTTTTGAGCTGGACCTTCAAAGTGTTTTATGTATATACCAGCGGACTCTATATCTGCAACAATATTCTCTCTGTATGATGACTTCTTTTCTGGTTCTTGGGGGTTTCTCCCCATGCCACATGGGTTCTCTGCGAAAAAAAAAATCATCAGCTGGTCCCATGAATTTTATTGTAGAGAGTTCACTTGCATGCTGTTTACATGTTGGACTCTCTCCAAAACAATCATGCGTGGAACATCTTTTTGTCCCATTGGTAAGACTCAACCCATGTGTCGGGTTCTCGAATGTCCTTCTGATACCCAGGCACCAATTAGAATTGGGTTCCCAGTCCAAGAACATTATTCTTTCCCAAATAAGGAGGATTATTTATTGGGATGATGCCAAGATTTAAATCACCCTTATGTCCATTGGAAAAGATTCTTTTCAATTTGCATATGGTTCTGAATTATTTACAATTACATCATATGTCAGGAGCATCATTTGAATTTTCGACTTAATCCAAGTCGCTTATTATCTCCACCTAAAGATCAGGAAGATGGGAACCAATCCTCAAGTCAGGTCACTTCAACACCAAGTCATGAATTTTCTTCTCATACAATTTAGGCAACTCACTGTTGTGAGGATAGGTTACATTCACTGGTAATGTACAATGTCATGTAAGCTCTCACCACCCAACAGGGATGTCTCAGACCAGCAAGCATGCTTCTGCAGTCACATACTCACATTGACAATGTTAATCCATGGGTTGAGACAAATGAAGGGAGTTATGATGAACCTGTACAGGGAAGTTCACTCTGAACACTTCCTCACAAATTAAAAGGTTCTCTTAGATATCATGCTTGTGTACTGCATTACAGTACTACCATTAGTTTAAAATAATGTACCTCTACTCATTTGCTGCACCACACGAACTGTGTATACCACCAAGTTGACATGAGTTCTAAAAGTTTCCATCTGGAAGAGAAGGATCATCATAAGATGACTCGGGAAAATGAGAAGTCGAGCGTTTCACGTTTGCGCAAAAACCATATATCTCGCATTTTATCAGCGTGAAGAACTTTAGCAAATAACTTAAACATCCGCTCGAAAAGCTCCCTCGAATTCGCACACACAAAGAAACCCTTTCACTCTCGAATGTTCGACCGCGAAAAAAAAATTAGGAATGCAAGAAAAAAAATCATTTCCGAAACTGCCATCGCTCTCAAAACAGAAACTACGGCAGGAATGTGAGAAGAGCAAAAAAACGATAAGCGAAAGACAAAAAATTTCCGGAATGCTGACGGGTGATTCTTTTCAGAACTGCATGATGTTGGGGGGCAGGGTAAGGGAGGCGTTGGAAAACAACCGACTGCTGATTTAGAAGCACTTCCTGTGCACGATGGACGGGCCAGACTCGTCATATTCCTGCTTGGAAATCCACATCTGTTGGAAGGTGGACAGGGAAGCCAGGATGGAACCTCCGATCCAGACGGAGTACTTCCTCTCTGGGGGAGCAATGATCTTGATCTTCATGGTGGATGGCGCCAGAGCAGTGATCTCCTTCTGCATCCTGTCAGCAATGCCAGGGTACATGGTGGTACCACCAGACAGCACAGTGTTGGCGTACAGGTCCTTCCTATAATCAAAAAAAGCATCACACATGAACAATCACACCTCTCAATTAACCAACAACTGATATCACGCACCTGATGTCAACGTCGCACTTCATGATGGAGTTGTAAGTAGTCTCGTGGATACCGCAAGATTCCATACCCAAGAAGGAAGGCTGGAAGAGGGCCTCGGGGCATCGGAATCGCTCATTGCCAATGGTGATCACCTGACCATCGGGCAACTCGTAGCTCTTCTCCAAGGAGCTAGAGCTGGCAGCAGTAGCCATTTCCTGCTCGAAGTCCAGGGCAACATAGCACAGCTTCTCCTTGATGTCACGAACGATTTCTCGCTCAGCTGCAGAAAATAACCAATAATGATGCAATGCTCATCCTCCCGAACACAAGTTTCATTCATGTAAGAAGATAGCTCATTCAAAAAGAGGCTATAAATTATTCAACTCACTAATCCACGAACATAAGATTCCGTTGTCATTAAATCGGGAGTACACGAAGTGATTCAACTTAGCAGTACAGCATTTCTTACAAAATACTGTACATGGAAAAATTTCAAGGAATTCATCAGACGCTCGATACGAATCACAGCGTTCAGAAGAGGAATTCAAGCAAGACAGTTCACGAAGATTTCGAAAATTACGAGATTCAAAAATAATAAGACTCCATGTCGAGGAACCCTAGCAATGAACAATACAACCGCTCAAGAGAAGAAGCGTTCTTGCATTACTGGAAGTGAATGAGCTAATTGGCAAGAAGGTCGAAAATACTTTATATGCTTTGCGAGGTGGAAGAGAGAGTATGACACATACCGGTGGTGGTGAAGGAGTAACCACGCTCTGTGAGGATCTTCATCAGGTAATCGGTCAAGTCACGGCCAGCCAAGTCGAGACGCAAGATGGCGTGGGGCAAGGCATAACCCTCGTAGATTGGCACTGTGTGTGAGACACCATCACCGGAATCGAGCACGATACCAGTGGTACGACCAGAAGCATACAGAGACAACACAGCTTGGATGGCGACATACATGGCAGGGGTGTTGAACGTTTCGAACATAATCTATGATACGACAAATCGATGACTCATTAGCATATTCGTGCAATCAAGTTTTTCAAACAAGTATCGCATACCTGAGTCATCTTTTCACGGTTGGCCTTGGGGTTCAAGGGAGCCTCAGTGAGCAAGACGGGGTGTTCCTCGGGGGCGACTCGGAGTTCATTGTAGAAGGTGTGATGCCAGATCTTCTCCATGTCATCCCAGTTTGTGACAATGCCGTGTTCAATCGGGTATTTCACAGTCAGGATACCACGCTTGGACTGAGCTTCGTCACCAACGTAGCTGTCTTTCTGTCCCATGCCGACCATGATGCCCTGGAAAGATCATCAAGAACTTGCTATGCTTAACACCAATCTTCGAGGTTTCTCAAAGTTATTGCTGCAAACCTGGTAACGAGGGCGGCCGACAATGGACGGGAAAACCGCACGGGGAGCATCGTCACCGGCGAAACCAGCCTTGCACATACCAGAGCCGTTGTCAACGACCAACGCCGCAACATCTTCGTCGCACATTTTCGGTTGCTTGATTTATTTCACGTAAATTACGAACTCAAAACACCCAGAGCTAGAAGCTCAGAATAAGATAAAATACACCGCGAGGGAGCGATAAAAACCTGCAACACACACGAAAAATATTAAAACATTATGATTTATGGAATTCTAACCTCGAAGTTGCTTCACACGCCAACGATTCGAACTCTCATACGAGTGGAACCGAATTACTAAAACCAAAAGAAATGAGGAACTGAATGCGTTTCTGAAGATGAATATAATAAATAGTAATTAATATATTGATTAGCTTTACTTCATCCGCTAACGCTCGACACCTAATCCGACGACAAACCACCTATGAAACACATCCAGTTTCTGGCTTCCTTTCAGAAGGGAATCGATTGGAATGAAGCCCTCAGTACATCTCGACATTACTGGACGATGGTGTACAGCGGAAACTCTACACTCAGGAAACTGGAAGGAACTGTACGAAGCTTCAGGTAACCTACGTCGAAAGCGAGTGGTTCCCGAAGTTCCACGGCAGCATTTCGAATTTAAGCACTGGACTGATTTAATCATACAGAAGTGAATTCGAACACTAGCGGGGAACTCGCACACTCAAAATCAAATACCTTCAACCACATCGAACAATCCATGGATCTTACGATCAAGACACTCTGCCGGGATGACGTGGCAAGCCACGACATTTTCCCTACCGGGCTACCTGTGTTCAACTCTCAAGACTGAGCTACACTGAACCGAACTTTGAGATCAAGCTAACTCATTAATGATCACACACTCAAGTCCAAAAGATTCCAGCATCCATCCAAGCTTCCTATCGCATCGAATAGCAGGAAGAGACTGATGCTGCGGGTCCAGGACATCCGAGACAAAATCCCCTGGCACCTCTCTCTCATCCTATCCATCCATGGCACTAGATAACCATTTATACATACAAACGCGTATAACACTATGACTGAGGAAAATTCAAGTTCACCACCACCGGATTGAATACAACTCCGAAACTGAAGGACTTGGGCCCTCGCGGCGCATACATACGTTTCGCCTGCCTTCCCCCCGACACTTCCGAAGCGACGCTGGAGCCGGCTTCGCTTCGGAGAATACCACCGGCTTTCGACCAATCACGAAACGACTTCCTTATAAGGCAATACCAGGCACCGCGTTTCCTCTTTCCTTCCTTTTATTCCCTTCTTTCTCTTTTTGTCCTTCCATTTTCGTTCGTTATCACTTCTCCCCCGCGTTTCCTCTACTTTTTTTCTCCCCTTATGTATTCCGGGCGTCCTCCTGCCTTCCCCACCCCCTCTCCCCGTCCAACCAACGGCTTATCGCTTTGCTAGGTTCACCTTCTCCTCCACTAATGGTGCGGTATTATGTGGCAAGGTGGTACAGTACAATACGGTACCCCGGATAATGGACCCTGCGGGAGATAAGGGTATTTACTGGAGAACAGCTCGTCTCTGATCCCACCACGACTTATTGACAAGGGTATTTAAGGGATTTTTCTCTTAAATCCCATGCTAATATGACGCACACATGATTTCCTGATTGGTGAGAGAAGATTATAAAAAAGGCACATAAGCATATTTATAATGACAGACTTTTAACAACAAGGACTTGAGCTACTGGATAATGGACCCTACACATACATTTTTAGTGAACCCTGCTTTGAAAAATAGCTGTCATCCTATAAAATGTATCAAACTTATGGGAAATCAAGCTTTCCATATAAGTTCTCATAGAAATATTTTTTCCTTATGTCCTGGTGTTACTTGATGCTGAAAACTGATTTATTTAGCAGTTTTTTCTCTTGGTCATGAAAGGAATTTCCAGCATGGGGTATGGATAAAAAAAAACTGTTTATGTGCTGTTTTAAAATGTGGGATTCAAAGATATAAAAATGTTGTAAACATTCTTTGAACAATGGATTTATGCTATCAAGAATTTTTCTGCTGCTTTTATAGTGTCTTTTATTTTTAGATTGCCTTACCTTGCATGTGTTTTCGTTTTTGAGATTTTATTTTCCCAACTTGGATGAATTCACACTTTTTGTGGATACAAACATTATATAATGTACCATGAATGTGATTTTTGTTTACATTCAGTAAGTTTCCCAGAATTCCCATGGCTCTATGGAATTGGGAGAACATTAGTGTAGGAGACAGTGTATGCACAATGCAGAAAGAAATGCATGAGGAGCAATGAGAAAAGAGGAAATGTTAGTTGGAAAATTTGCCTTGAGGAAAGACACTTCTGTGAATCTCCAATAAGTTGGACAACAAACAATATGGTTATGAGCAATCACGTATACATATTTCTAGATGATAGCCTTTCATTCTTCCATTTGTTTGTCCTTTGGCATGATTTCTCTTTCTGCACAAATCAGCAAATTTTCACAAGTGTGTTCATGCCACCATCTTTTTTTTTCTCAATATCATAAATTCCTTCTCTTCAGGATTTTGTAGATATATTAATAATGTAAAACAAGCCCTGTTCCTCCCGTGTTTCTTCTTATTGCTAAGGACATGACAAATGTATCGGTGCGCCTGTCCCACAAAGTCGACTATAGCCGGCAAGGCCAGCATGCCTGGGACTCGTCTGCGGTCCTGGGGTCGCCGGTTTGGGTCGCCCACCGCCGCCGGAATCACCAGACAGCTTTCCCTCGCCTCTTCCTCGGCACACACGTGCAAACACAACGGTGCGAGGATTTAACTGGTTTACGGTGTGGAAAAAGGGTGCCCCCTTCTCCCCCCCCCCCTGGGCCTGGGTTTCCTCCGCCGTGTTGTGCGTAACAGTCAGGCAACCGTACTCATTGTCAACGACCCGAGAGAAGAGAAGGGGGGATTACTAATTAAAATATCATGCTGATGTATTGCAAATTTTTGTAAAAAATTCAAATCATTGATCTGAGGATAATGAAATTCTGGGGCCAGGTGTTTTGATTTTTTTATATTTTAAACAATGGCGGATTCTCCTTGAAAAATTTTTCAAAGACTTTTAAACAATTTCATTTCCGATTTTCCTTGCTCTAATTAGAGTAGAAGCTCGTTACAACAAATCTCGTTATAAGGAAATAATGCTGACAACGAATTTGTTTTTCTCAGTCCTTATCCAATAGACACAATGCTAACATAATATTGTTATAGTAAATGTACAGTATCTTCAATCAGGCGTTTTTTAAAGGTCCCAAATGCTGCATTGTGATGATGGAGATTCTATTGTATTCCATTCATTAAAGGAAAATCAGCAAAATTTGCATTGCCTTTTCAGAATGACAAGCTTGGTCTTTGTTAAATGCACTGCATGGTTTTTGCCAGGGTCTTTGTCAAAAATAGTAAACAGAACCTGACATATATGCACAGTACAGGGTAGCACAGAAAAATCTAAGAGATTTTAAAATAGCAATATAGCTGAATTAAAGAGATATGAAGTGTAACTAGGCCTCAAAGGAAAGCAAACCTAGATTTAGGTCTCCAGCAATTGCAGAATTTGAGTTATATAGTACAATATAATTTTTTTACAAGAAATCTTTTTGTAAAAATGCCATGATATGTTTGTGAGAATTGTTCACAGTTCCTGCTTCAGCATGAGCATACTGTTCTCAACATCTTGATGTAGATACAGTATTTGAATTAGCTTTGTTGTGTTGCTTGCCTTACTAAACAGATATCTCTGTTTTGATTCAACTGTTCTTCTTTGCTTATTTTTGAAGTGCATTGAAATGTAAAAATAGGTGCAGCATTTTCAACTCTTCATCATACAAGGTAAACATCTCCAATCTCTTTGAGCTCTTCAAGGAAAAGCTTTTCAGCTTGTAGAGATAAACTCTGCACTTATTGAACCTTTCAAGGAAGAACTGACATAGCTTGAGATAGCATGGAACCTCAAACTGATTGTTTGGATAGAGTGGAAATGATACAAAATGTTTTAAGAAGTTCATTTCTATCTTTCATTCAACCAATTTTCTAATTTTAATCACCTTATTGTACCAAGACATTTTCTTGGAATCACTGCTTTAATTGCACATTGATGATGTTAAAATAAAACAATATTCTTTTGCTCCAAAAAATAACTGCAACATTTGATTGTTATGGGATCCTAAATTAAATGGAAGTACAGTATCAAACTAGTACCTTGTCAGCTTACAATTATTTTTGGCCTTTTATTTTTATAGAACATAATTGGGGAACTATGAATGATGTGAACAGCATAATTTTGCCTCTGGTAGCCACCAAAAACTGCACCTCCTATTTTTATATATTACCCTCAATGTAGTGCCACAGAAATTCCTGGAATGGATGGTGGCACTAAATTGAGGGTTGACTGTACCTTATTTTCTCCAATCATTGGCCTCTTCCTCCTGTAGAAGTTTTTACAAATTTTTTTTGAACACACCCAATCCATTTTATTAATTCTTCTCCTGGGCATTATAAAAATTCTTTAATGTACTCAAAAGGTTCCAAGTTTTTTTTTTAATAGGTTTTTAAAATTTGTTATTCAGACCTGAAACACATTTTTCTCATGAGCATTTAAATATCATGTGTATGTATCTTACAGTATTGCCAATTTATTTTCTTGTTTGAAGAAAATGTTTTTTCAAATTTTTGCTACACAATCCATGTATTTTATTTATTTATTTTTCTCATGAGCATAAAAAAATGTCATGTATGCACCCTACAGTTGTCAATTTTTTTCTTTCTTGAGGAAAATTTGCTCCTCACATGCCATGCATTTTATTTATTTTTCTCATGAGCATATTATAAAATCTCATGCACCTAAACGTCAGCAATTTTTTATGTTTTCCAATTTTTTTTTATAAAATGCATAGAGTGCAAGGAAAATATTTGGAAAAACTTATAAAAATTGGCAACGTTTGGGTGCATGAGATTTTATGGTATTATTTTTTAAAATTGGCAATTTTTGAAAATGTTTTTCACTTTTTTCTCCACACTCAATGCATTTTATTTATTTTTCTCATAAGCATTATAAAAATCTCATGTACCCGGACGTTGCCAATTTTTTTTTTTACATGTTTTCCAAAGTGTTGTTCTTAAAACTCCATGCATTTATTTATTTATTTTTTCCTCGTGAGCATTATAAAAATTCATGGATGCGCCCCAAATGC